TATCTCGGCTCCTCCTCACAGTGAACCAGCTGGAAGGTGGTGACTCTCCTACCTTCACAGATGAGGAGACCAAGGATCAGAGCAGGCAAGTGACTTTCCCAAGCTCACACAGCAGTGTAAAGTACCTGAGTATGTCCTTTGTCAACTATCACCTCTCAGCTCCTAGTCTATCTACAGGTGAACCTAGAAAGTTCTTCCCTGCCACCAGAACGATGTCAAGTTTTGTCAATGCCAAGGGCTGGAAGGGCGTTCCTTTCGGGTCCCAGTATGCTCTTCTCCGTCTGTCCTGGAGTTAAGCAATGGTCAGGGTTGCTGAAACCCTGTGGAGTTCACACCCAGGAGCACTGTCAGCCAGTCCCTGTGTGTGGCACCTCCCTGGAGGCCTCTCCCGCACCCCAGCCAGCTCTCCACCACCCCGTGGCCCCAATCGGGGAGCTTGGACCTGGTGGTGCTGGCAAAGAGGGGGCAGGCCATTCTGGACCTGTTCCTGCCATAGGAAGAAGCCTTGGCAGGGGTCCCCTGGGCACCTGCCCTTCCTGCGCTCCTTAGAATCCTGCCTCCTACCTGGTGGACAGTCCTCTATTAGTTAATAATCATTCACATGAAACGTCCTCTGCTCAAGTTCAATGAGTCTCTTGCCTCTTCTCTGGACCCTGGATGATGGAGCTGATGGGATTCCAGGAGGTGACCCACCAAGATCAGGTTCTTGGGCCTAGATTGGTGGTGGCCTGGGGCTTGAGCTCAGTGCTGACTGAGCTCTGTGGGTGGGCAAGGGGGTGAGTGTCCCGTGGCATGAGTGGCAGCATGATCAATCTAGGTGTCACCTGTGGCTGACTGTGATGGAGTGTCAAGAGAAGCCAGTGGACATCCCGGGGGCTGCCCTTGGTGACGTCACTCCGGGGGTGGCGGTGGGTTCTCCTGAGTGTACTGGAGCATTTAGAATAAAAATCAGAAGCTCGGTTCTTTAGCCCCCAACAACGAAATCCCTCCACAAATCTCTTCTTTCCTGTAGCCTCGGGATACTCCCCGAGCAGCAGATGCAAAATTAATTGTGCAGGTTGCTGAATTCCAGCACCCGCTGAGCTTGGCGCCTGGCCAGGTTTCTCCTGGGAACATTCCTCATTGGGGAGATTTCTCATGGGAAAGGACAGGATCCTGAAACTTGGAATGAAGTTGCCTTAGATCCTTATGAAACCCAAATCCAAAGCTCCCGGGTCACTCAGGGTGTCCCTGGACAGTAGAAAGGGCCTCCCTCTGCTTGCATATCTTGTGAAAACCTCACCTGGGGCAGGTATCTTTAAATGTGACGCTCACTCCCCTCGGGATCCACCGTGTCCCCGCCCCCCTGCAGCCACGAGACCCATAACCATGATAAAACCTCAGCATGATTCATAGGGACAAATGACAAATGGCTCAGGAGGAAATAGCTCACACGATAAAAGCTAGACTTGGCTGGTGTACGTGGAAGCAAACCTGGAAATACGGAGAGGAGTGAATTCTATGGGTCTTATTAGTCCAAGGAAGAATCATAACACGGGATGGAGGCAGATTCACTGATAGGCGTGCACTTCCCAAAGATTCCATATTTAATGTGTGAGTTTGCACAGACGGCAGGAGCCGCCCTGGCTGGGTCAGTCGGTGGGTTAAACTCTGTATTTGATCGTGGTCTGATGGGGGAAGCCAGAGCCTTCCTGGGGTGCTGTGAAGGGGACTCCAACTCCTAGAGGATGGGAATGTTAGGAGTGTTTCTTCCCAAGCAACCTTCACCCCTGAGCCCCATGCTCGATGAACACCCAGGAACTCAGGGAATCTATTGATGGAGGAATCCTGGAAAATCTCAGGGGTCATTCTCCTTTGGGGGCCAAGAATGACCTGGGAGAAAACTGCTGTTGAGATGGGTTCCCAGGTTCAGTGGGGACGATGGGACTTGAGAGGAGCAGAGACCAGGGGACGGTCCACTGCCCAAATCCAGGAAAGGGCAGTAGGGAGCACAGAGGCCAGTGCCTTCTGCAGGGGTGGCCGCAGCAGCTGACCGTGGTCTCCCTGGGGGAGAATGGACAGTCTACTAGAAGGTTCCCTGGTCTAACTGAAAACAAACAAACCCCATCCACAGCCCTGGTGATCCACACAGGCCTTGGCTGGGGGCTCGGCACCTGGAAGGGAATTCCGTACCATCATTGCCAGGGCAACCTGTCTTCCTCCTCACTCCTACCAGGACCCGTGGCCAGCTCTTTAATATGCCCTGGGATAGGAGATCCACTCCGGGAATTAGACACTGAATCTAATTTGACATTGACTCCAAATGCCACTGTCATTCTACAAGGTTGTGGTGGCTGGTGGCACATGGACTCAAGCCCCAGTCAGAGAGAGCCCAGCTGGTCCACCCCTACACTGGTGTCCCTGCACCCTGGCCTCACGGTTGTAGCCAGTCCACTCATTAAGCTGTCCCTGGAAGCAGTAGAGCCGTAACTGGGCAGGAACCCTTCAGGGTCATTCTGGGTGCAGTTTTGGAGGCTGAGCGTGGGCCAGTTTGGATTGAGGAATCCAGAGCATCGGAACCAACAAAAATCTCCCCCTCCCCCCTTGTTCTAGGAGGGAGAGACACCATGGAGGAGACAGTTTAGACTGTTCTCCAAAACCAAGGTCTCCACTCCAGGAGAAAAGAGCCTTATCATGACGGTGGGCAAGGAATTTACCAAACCACACCCAGGACTTCAGTCCCAGTAAAAACAGAGACCAAGCCCAACCCCCCTCCGCACAGCTCACTTCCCTTGGACGGAGCTCTGTGCAGTGACGGGGACTTACAGCTGAAGTGTCATGGGACAAGGACCCCATCTAAGGAGGGGTGCTTAAGGATCTGGGAGGCATCGAAGAAAACAAAAATAAATAAATGCATAAATAGAGTAATTTTAGCCGCCAGCAGCTATGGCTACATCAAACGTTGAACATGCTAAACATTTAAATAGCGATCCATTGAGCGCTCCCCCTGAAGTTTGATTTTTTCAATCCCAGTGTCTATTACTGGACATATTATGTCCGACTTTGAACAAAAATTACAAGTCACGCTGGAAGACAAAACTATGGATCTAAAGAGACAAAGGAATCCTTAAGGATCAGGCTCAGATAAGAGGTAGGTTTCAGGACTGTCCACAGAGTTTCAAACAGCTGTGAGGAATATGTGAAGAGATCCAACAGGAAAATCAGCAGTAGGCGAGAACAAATGGGTGTTGTCCTCAGGGAGCATCAAAAGGAAATGCCCAAAATCAAGAACACGGAAAGCAACGGGAACGTCACTTGGAGACGCATCAGTGGACTGGATACATCCTGGGAAAGGGCGGAGGAGCTTGGAAATGAGACAACAGAAACTTTAAAAACCAAAATGCAAAGGGGAAGAGGAATGAAGCAGAACAGGACACACAAGGGGCAGATGTTTCAAAATGGGTGATGCAGGTGGTTAGAGTTACCAGAAGGAGAGAAGGGAGCAGGAGAAGTATTCAAAGTAACAATGGCCAAGAATTTTCCAAAATTAGTGACTGATCTTTGACAAAGTTTCAAAAGCAAGTCAATGACTAAGGACGTCCCTGTGCCATGGGTAGTGCTGGGACAATTGGACATCATGGTTTTTTTTTTTTTTAAGAATGAGCCCTACTCAGCTCTTTCCTCTTTCATGAAAATGAACTCAGTGTGAAACACGAAACCACAAAACACCCAGAAGAAAACATAGGGGAATGTGTAGGTGGCCTTGAGTTTGGAGATGGGTATTTATATATGACACTAAGAAAGCCTGATGATCCATGAAAGAAAAACATTGGTGTTGGATTTCATTAAAATTAAGTGTTTCTGCTCTCTGTGAGGCAGCTGAAATAATCAAGTCACAGCCTGGGAGGAAATATTTGCAAAATACATACCCCAGAAAGAACATGGTCCAAAATATATAAATAACTCTCAAAATTCAACAATTTTTCTTCTAATTAAAGGATGGGCAAAAGATTCAAACACACTCATCAAAGAAGACAGAGGGGAAATAAGCACGTCTGCTCAACACCATTTTTCATGAGAGATCTGAAAACTAACAAGAGCCCTCCACAAACCTATCAAAACAGGTAGAATAACAAATAAGGAAGTTGGTAATACTAAATGCTAGGGGGTGCAAAACAAGGGCAGCTCTCACTCACTGGTGGTGGAAAGTGAAACGGTGCAGCCACTTTGGAAGAGTCGGGCTTTTTCTCACAAAGCTAAGGAGAGCCTCGCCCTGGGATCGCGCTCCTAGGCATTTACCCAGAGGGTCTGAAAACTTACCTTTACACAAAAACCTACTCGCAAGTATTTACAGCAGCTTTATTTATAATTGAAAGGAAAGTGACCACAACACTCGAGCAACCCAGAGATCTTTTTGCAGCAGTGCAACAAAGGAGAAAAGAAAGAGAGAGAGAGAGAGAGAGAGAGAGAGAGAAGAAAGAGAGAGAAAGAGCAAGTAAGACAGAGAGAGCAGGAGAGAGAGACAGAGCAAGAGAGCAAGAGAGAGAGGGCCCCGGCAGGAGGGAGTTTTTATAGCCCAAATCTAATGGGGCCTCTGGGTCTGCAAGCTGCCTTTTTGGCACAAGCGGCGGTCGAGTGTTCAGCCTTGAGCGGGGTGGAGTGTTCAGACTTGACTCAAACAGGTGATAAAGGACCAGACAGAGGAGGTTCGTGGGCCATCCTGCAGCAGCTAACATTTGTTCAGCCTGCCCTGCACCTAACAATAATCACCCAAAACGGGAAGCAATTAGTAAATATGTCCTGAAGTAAGTGAATGAAAGCCGAGTAGTACCTTCAGACTGTGGAGCGTGATTCAGAGATGAACACACAGATGGCTTCCACCAGCCACCCCAAGACGAGGGTCACCCTTAAACGCTCTGCTGGTGGGAGAGGCCAGTCTGAAGGGCGCACGTCACGTGCGATTCCAGAGAAACAACATTCTGGAAACGTTAGGACCATAAAAGAGCAGTGTTGGCCCAGAGGTGGCCAGGGGCAGGCCGGGGCCGGGAGACTTGAGGGCAGGGAGGCTGTGACTCCCGCAGGGCCCGCGTGTGACGCCATCCAGTCGTCAGAACCCACAGCACTCGCCACCCCCAGCCAACGTGGATGGACGTGGATTTTAAAACAGCACTAAGGTGATCAGAGGGTCCCAGGGAGGGACACACTGTGATACAATCTGGGTCACAACTGGGCGAAACAAGGGCAGGGCCAGGCAGCCCTGGGCGGGATGGCGCCTGAGGACCCACAGCACACAGCCACGTCGCCACGTCGCCACGTCGCCACGTCACACGTCATCACGTCACCACGTCATCACGTCACCACGTCTCCACCGTGCTCTGACGCAGGAGGGAGGCTGTTCCGCCACGTGTGAGTGAGCGGTTCTGATGCCAGGTGCGTGCGGGTGCTGGATTGAGTGATTAAGTCACTGGGCAGCGGACGGTGGGAGCCGGGTCCTCTCGGTTGGGCCGGGACTCTACGCGGCAGCAAGGACAGGGGCTGCAGAGGTCCCCGCGGTGAGCTGGGTTGGAGACATCTGCACGAGGTCACGATGCAGATGGAACGTGGGGCGGTAACTGTCTGTGGGATGTTTATGGCTCCAGGTGCGGACGCCGGCGAGGGCACAGCACCGTCCCTCTCCATGAGTGACGCCTCGTAGCCAGAAACACGGCCGCTGCCCGGATCTTGGTCTCGTGTGTTTCTCCAGTACCAAGGGGCTCCTTGGAGAAACGGCCGACTCCGGGACCGAAACGGAAAGCGCTGGCTGAGCCCAGTCCCCCTGGACTGCCGGAGAACGAGGACTGAGCTGGGCACTCAGGCTGCACACAAACCCACGGGGATGGAGGTGGGACTGAGGGACACAGGGAGGACAGCGGAGCAAGAAAAGAAACAAAGTGGCATTGGATCACACCCCAAGTCCAAATAAGCACCCGGAGGCCAGGCTGGAGTATGACGGAGCAAGTTAATAAGTGGGCCGGAAGGGGCGAGTCTCCCAGGAAGGATTCAGGGCTGTGTAGGTGCCCCACCCTCCAGAGGACAGCCGCGTCCCCACTCCTGCGCTGCACGCTCCATGCCGACCACTCCAGAGGGCACACTGGGGACCGGGTAGGGGACCCTGACTTCATGGTGGAGAAGCCCCCAGACACCACCTCAGCCAACCCAAAACCTGGGCCCTGCAGGTCCCGTGTGGGGAGATGACACTTTTCCTCTGTGGCCTCCGTCCCCACACCAGGACCCTAGTCTCGCCATGAGAAAAAACGTCACACACACACCCACACCCACACCCAAGGCCGTTCTACAATATGCCCAGCCACACTCCTCCAAACCGTCAAGGTCAAAAACAAGGAAGGTCAGACACTGTCACAGCCAAGAGGAGCCTAAGGGACACAAGGAGTGTTGGGGTTTAGATATGAGGTGTCCCCAAAAGCTCACACGTGAGACCATGCAAGGAAGCTTAGCGCTGAAGTGACCCGTGACCAGAGCCTCGACCTCACAGCGCATTGACCCACTGTCAGGAATGAACTGGGTGGGAACCGCAGGTCGGGTGGGACCCAAGAAGTAGGTCACCGGGGGTGTGCCTCTGGGGCTTATATTTTGTCACCAGGGAGCATAGTTCTCTCCTGGTACCATGTCCTGAGTTGCTTTCACCCTCCAGGCCCTTCCACCATGATGATCTGCCTCGTTCCAGCTCAGAGATCTGGACTCGCCATCAGTGGACTGAGACCCTGAAACCACAAGCCAAAATAGGCCTCCTCAGCTGTTCTTTCTGGGACTTTTGGTACCAGTGATGGATGGACGGGTGGAAAGCTGACTGAACAAAGACTAAACATAACGTGGTATCCTGGATGCAACCTAGGAAAGAAAAATATCACCACATAGAATCTGAAGAAATCAGAATAAAGCACGGGCCATGGTTCATAAGAATGTGTGAATATGGTTTATTAATTATAACAAATAAACCATAACAATGCTAGATATTAATTACGGGGGAAATTGGATGAAAATCATATGACACTCCACACTACCCTTTCTTTCTTTCTTTTTCTAAGTCTAAAGCTGTTCAAAATAATAAAGTATATTTTTAAGAGAAAAAATTAGTTAAAACTAAATTTTT